AAGATTTATATTTATAAATATATAAAACTTCAGAGAGAGATAAATATACATTTCAGATAGATATAATTTCAGATAAAGAGAGAGAGAGAGAACGCTCTGGTGGCCTAGTGACAAGAAGCTGCTCCCTCCAGTTCCTGATAGTTTTAAATGCTTGAAGAGCAAACACAGAAGGAAATCTCTTTCTCTCACAATCAATCTCCTTAGTCAATATTGCTGCTTCCCCCAGCTTCTGCCTCCACGTGCAGTTGCTGGGAGTCAGAACAGACCTGGTAACAGTGATTGTTGCCATGTGCCATCAAGTACAACTAACTCATAGTGACCTTATGAACAACACATCTGAACTCTGTCCTGTCCTGTGCCATCCTCAACATCCCCGACATACTTAAGCTCATTGCTGGAGTCACTGTGTCATTATTCCATCTCATTGAGGGTCTTCCTCACCTTTGCTGACCCTCTGCCTTTCCAAGCATGACGTCCCACTTGAAGGAATAGCCCCTCCTAATAGCATACCCAATGTCTGTGAGACGAAGCTTTGCCTTCCTTGCCTCCAAGGAACACTCTGGCTGCACTTTTATTTTAACTTTATATATGTTTCAGATCTAACTAGCTCCCTCCCTTGAGTCCACTTGGTGTCTTACAGAGGCTCCCTAACTCATCATCCTGATTCTGCCTCTACCTTACAGCCTGTATCCCCCACTCCTCCACAGCACCCAGACATTCCTTTGAAAACAGAACCATGCTTCTTTCTAATGGATCAACCCTGACTTTGCCTACATCTAATCCTGATTCCTGAACTAGAGTCCACCTAACCTGGTCCCAAAAGTGTGCCCTGTTCCTTAACTAACCACTTGACTGTAAGCATGGCCTGTGAGTGCTGTGCGGCCATTGCAATGGATGATCAAACCCAGAAGAGAAGCAGAGAGTGCTGGGGGAATGATAGTTGGCAAGAAGTTTGGAGGTATGTCTGACCTCTATCTCACGGACATCAGCTTTGTGTTGATGGTAATTCTCATTAGACTCCCTCGCAAAGTTAGGCAAGTTCTGATACTACTTTGAATTCTATTTGCTATGAATTGAATTATACCGTACCTCCCACTCCAAATGAGTGACAACTTGGCTATGTCATGGTTCTCTGTATTACATAATTATGGTCCACTTTGTGATATGATTCAATGGTTCTGTGTAGTCTAAATCCTAATCTCTGTGATGTTAGTGAGAGAATAAGAAGCAATTACATTAATGAGGAAGTTAAGGCTATATTTTGAGTTACTCTCTTTTGAGATATGAAAGAGATTAAACAGACAAGGAAAGATCAAAGGGACCTATTACCCCCAAGAAAGAAGAGCTAGGAATAGAGTGCATTGTCTGGATTTGGGATCCCTGCTCTGGGAACCTTGTAGAATCAAGAGGCAAGGAGAGGGTGAGCTCTGGTGGCCTAGTGGCAGGAAACTGCACTGCAATCCCAGAGGTGCGTGGTTCAAATCCACCAGATGCTCTGCTGAAGAAGGAGGAACAATTGCCTCCTGTCCCAGTCAGATTCAATTTGATGGTACACACATAAAAAGAATAAATTAAAAAATAAATTTTTTTAAAAAAAAGAGGCAAGGAGAGAGAGAACCAGAGACCTCAATTCAGACTTCCAGTCTCCTACTGTCAGAAAATAAGTTTGTTTATTCATAACTTGTAGTATTTCTGTTAGAGCAGCAGTCAAAAATTAAGACATTATTACATTACTATGACCATCTTAGGGAGCTCTGATGACGTAGTGTGTAGGGAGTTGCACTGCCAACTCAAAGGTAATTGGTTCAAATCCATCATCTATCTGCTCCTTGAGAGAAAGATGGGCAATCTCCTCCTGTGCGATTTACAGCCTCTGAAAACTTGCTGGAGGGTCAACTCTGAGCTTATTCCAACTCAACAGCCATGAACAACAACCAATGGCCATTTTCTACCTTCTCTGGTTTCCTTTTCTTCATGACGTGTATCTCCCACTGATAGAACTTAAGTAGATATTTATCACTCATCTTCTTCCATAGAATAAAACCCTACCAGGCAGAAATGTTTGGTTTGCTCATTCACGGGGCATCCCCAGCACTTGGTCCAGTGCCTGCAATAGGACCTCTCCCTGACAGAGGTTCAGTAAATCTTTACGGACTGAATGAAAGTGACCAAATGGACAAACAAGAGAGCACCAGTGTGTCTGTCCAGGTCTCACTCCTCAGCCTCCAGTCATGCCTGGGCAGGAGGGACACCTCTTTTCTGACCCACTTACCTCAGGGGGTAGGTGTGGCACAAGACAGTTTCCCACAGCCATTGACGCAGCATTTTCCCGGGCCAGAACAATCGCTGTCCACATTGCACTGGTCATGGCAGAAGCCGAGTGGTAATATGCTTGAACCCAGGTTGGGGCAGAAACCTGGCTTTTCTGAAAGAAGAGAAAATAAAAGAAGGTAGACAAATAAAACGAAATGTGTACACGAGGGGGAAAAAAAGGTAGACAAAGGAGATACAAGGAAATGTAGCTTCACTTCTGTTCATTTTCTAATTTCATAGACAGTAGAACTACCACCTGTCAAATTGTTGTGTGTAATAGTGCAAATTTCATGTTGCTCTGATACAGGGAGCTTAGCAACCAATATTTAAAGTATCAGCAGTGTTGCCCATGATGGACAAGTCCCCAGCAGAGCTTTCATACTAAACAGACTAGGATAAAAGTTCTGACAATATACTCCTGAAAATTAGGCAATGAAAGCGTTTTGTTCGGTTGCATATAAAGTGAGGACTGACTCAACAATCACTGGCCTAGTGGGTAAGATGTTGCACAGCCAACCCCTGGGGCAGGTGGTTCAAATCTACCAGCTGCTCAGAGGGAAATGATAAGTAATCTCCTCCCATGTGGTTTTATAAACTCTGAAAACTGGCTAGAGGGTCAGATAACCAAGGGAGCTCTGGTGGCCTAGTGGCAAGCAGCTGCACTTTAATCCCAGAGGCACGCAGTTCCAATCCACCAGACGCTCTGCTGGAAAAGGAAGGACAATCTCTTCCTGTCCCAGTCAGATCTGATTTGATGGTACATGCACATAAAATAATAAAATAATTTTTTTTTAAAAAGTGTTGATTCCAACTCTTTGGCAATGAGAATGAGATACAACTTGTGGCAAGCATTATTCTAAGAATTTGACATATAGTAACTAACCCTCATAATAAGCCTAAAAGAAAGGGAAGGGTACTTTTTCTTCCTTCTTCTTATGATACAAATAAGGAAACTGAAACATGGAAAGCTAAATAGCTTGCCTATGGTGAACACCAATGGATACAAGAATTAGACAAAGAGTTATAATACATACTGGACAGCTGTGATCAATGTCATGAAGCAAAGCATATATTAAATGGATGAGTGGAATACAAATCTGCCTGTAAACTTTCAATCTAAGAAAAGAGCAGAAATCCCCTATACCAGCCTGCCCTGGGACAAAGGGGGATCGTTAGTGACACCACCACCTATCTGAACTGGGTATCTAATCTTTAAGAATACATGTAAAAAAGAAAAGAAAAAGAATACATGTCATAGTACTAGTTCTTTTATTAATTAATTTAGCCTTCATGCTGATTCCCGTAAAGTTCGGGGCAATTACTCCTGTTCTGCACATCATAAGGCAGAAACCCGGGTTTCCAACCCCCAGGCTCCCTCCCTGGTTCAGGAGACATTCTTAGCCCCGCTGGCTTCTTATCTTGATCTGTCCTACAAGGGAACACACCTTCTATGCACCTAGAACAAATGTCTGATGGACCAGCCCCCCCTTTGCTTAGCTGTCTATTGTTAGCTGTGTGTTGAGTCCACTCCATTCACAAAGAAAGGAAATGTCGACAGTCTTGTGGATTATGTGCTTCCGCGAATTGGCTGTTGTTTGGTGTTTTTTTTTTTTTAAAAAAAAGCTTTAAACCACCAGGTCTTTCTTCCTAGTCTTAACCTGGAATCCACTGAAACCAGTGCAACATCCCAAGCAACAGCCAAGCCTTCACTGTGGATGTTCCTGAGGTACATAAGATGGGAACCGAACCCGAGTCTACTGCACTGAGGGCTGAGAACCACCTGCACTGCCACTGCTTTCTAATGTATTTCCAGGCACCCTGATTATAAAACTTCCAAGTCTGTGGTTTGAATCCACCAGATGCTCTGCTGGGGAAGGAGGGGCAATCCCTTCCTGTACACGTCAGAGCCTATTTGACCGTCCACACACAATAAAAACCAAAACAAAAGAACCTTCCCAGTCTGGTGTCATCTTTTAGGACAGTAACAGAAAAAGCCACAAGGAATACATTCTAGGTTTACCAGTAGTAACTGTCTCTGCATTAGCAAGTACCTAGGTCTCATCTCTGCTTCTAACTCACAGTTTTTCTTTCTGTTCCCAAAGCAGCTGAGATTCTTGCCCTCTGGGACTACTTCCTGCTTTGATGCGGGTGCCCCCACCACACGGAGCATGCGCCCCCGGGTCACTTGCACCGAGCACCCACGCTTCCACTCGAGTTACCCACCTCTCTCAATTGTCAGTGTGCAAGATCCGGGTTTAAGGGCTAGGAAGGGGAACTGGAGGGCTCAGAACATTCTCCAAACCGCACAGTTAGGAAAAGGCAGAAGCTGAACCGGCGACTGGGACACCGGATGGCGGTGCAACCTCAGGGGAGGTCCTGTACCCTGTGGTCTCTCTCCCAACCTGTATCGTCTCTTTGTGCCTCAACATGGGAACCCGGGGGGTGGGGGTCCTGCCAGGTCAGCCCCTCAAATCCTCCCTTTAGGGTGTGAGGTCCCAGGACTCTCCACCGTGTGAGCATTGCTGACCTGACCCCGCCCCCAGCTTCCCGCAGGCCCAGGCCCCGCGTCCCCGGAACAATGTCCCGCTGTGTACGCCCGGAAAGCCGTCACGCACGAAGGGCTCGGATTCAGCTGGGGTGGCCCCTGAGCTTTGTTCCTCAGCGATGCCTTTGTCCCGCTCAGGGGAGGGGGCTGCAAGTCCGGTGGCGAGGCCTGGCCTCTCCGGGATCCCAGGCACACCCCCAAACCCCTACCCCCCCACCCTGGTACCGTTGGGAAGGACGCAGAGCGAGGCGCAGCCATAGTGACAGCACTTGAGGTTGTCGGTGCAGTTGCGATCTGAGACGCACTCCACGGTGCAGTTCTGGTCCTCCGGGAGCTTGGGGCACACTCCCGCCTTCGGTGCATCTACTCAGGGGACAGGGGGCGTCAGTAGTGGCCAGAGCTCCGAGGATGCCCACCTGCCCTGAGGGCGCAAAATTTCATGCCTCCAAGTAATATGCAGTCCCTGACCCTCGGAGCTCCCCAGAGGTCCCCACTGTCGAGGCAGGGGTTCCTAAGAACCTCAAGACTACTGCTGGACAGGGGGTCCCTAGCACCTGCCTGAAATCACTCAAACACCAGCCAGTTCAGCATGGCTGAAAATCCATACATTTCTGAGGTCCAGAGGAGGGTTAGGGTCAGAGTCATGGTTAGGGTCAGTATTAGGGTTAACTCTAACCATCTTCCTGCCACAGTCTCCCCAGATAGTCTCCCATTTGTACCCCACTGACTCCCCTATGCTCCAAACTGCCATCATTAGGCCCAAGGGACCCTCAAATTCCCGCTTCCCACCGCTTTGCATCTCCTTGCTTCCACTCCTGGAAAGGCTACGCCACCTCGGGCCAGGCCGAGCCCTGGGCTCCTGGCTTGTCCCCAGGGCGTCCTCTCCCCGCCCCACTCACCTGTGTTGCTGTGGCCTGCGGGCAGGTCCAACAGCAGGAGGCCCAGCAGCAGGGCGGCGGCGAGCGGACCGAGGCAGCGCGCGAGCATGGTGCTGGCAGGGCGGGGTGAAGGGCCCTGCGAGCAGGGGGATTTAACTGAGCGCCCCAAGGGGCGTGGGGGGGGCGGGGCCGGCCAGCGGGGAGAGGGCTCACGGGGCGAGGGCCGGCTGCCACCTCCTGCCATTTCACAATCTCCAAGGATCAGGTGTCACTTTTGGCTCCGGTGGGAACCAGGAACCTAAGCAGCTTTCAGGCTGAACACAACTCAGCTACTCGGCCACCCCTGCTAGTCGCTCACTCACTCTGGGGTTCTGAGCGAAAATCATCCGGAGAAAAGAGCACAGGCCCAGGATTTCAGGGCTTGAGTTCCAAGACTGAGGGTCTCCCAGTCATGCCATGGGCGATGGAATAAAGGAGTAAGGGCAGGGCCCCCTAGGAGGCGATAGAGTCTGAAGATGGAGGAGTTGGAATTGATGTCATCCAGATTAGAGTTCAAATGCCCTCTTGGAGATTGGTGATGGTGATTCAGAACACACTGTACGGGTCTCCAAAAAGTGGCTGTTATTTTTAAACGGAAGGCAGATATCTGGCTATCTGACCCAAAGATTTTCAGATTTGGACTCATTCTACAGAAAGATGATCTAACTGAATGCTGAAATTATGCAACAACATTGTTACTATCACATGCAAGTGACATTTTGCTAGAGATTGTTCAAAGAGAGTTGGGGTGGCGGAAAGAGCTTCGTATCAACAGGAAACTCCTAGAAATTTGAGGCAGATTCAGAAGAAGGCTTAGAACAAGGGATATGATTGCTGGTGCCAGATGACTCTTGGTTAAAGGTAGGGAACACCAAAAGAATGTTTGCCTGTGTTTTATCGACTATGCAAAGGCATTCAACTGTGTAGTTCATTACTAATTATGGATCACATTGCAAAAAGTAGGAATTCCAGAACACTTACCTGTGTTCAAGCAGAACAGGTACATAGGCTAGAGTAAGTCGGTCATTAGAACTGAACAAGACGGTGTGCATGGTTAGTTACACCATATTTATTCGATCTATTTGCTGAACAAATGAGAACCTGCCTGGTCTATGTGAAGACAAACGAGGTATGAGGATTGGAGGAAGATTCATTAACAGCATGCAATGATGACACAATCTTGCTAGCAAAAAAGAAAAACCAAGTTTGAAGCACTTTAAGCTGACAAAAGTTAAAGACTAGGGCTTTGGGTATGACTACAACTGGATTAATAGGCAACATCAAGATAAAAGGAGAAAAAACCATGATTGTCAAGGATTTCATTTTACTTGGACCCACCCACATCAAAGCATTGGTCAAGAAATCAAACAATGGCTTGCACTGAGAAAACCTCTTTAAAGTATGTAATAAAAAATAAAAGGTAAAAGTGTAATAAAATGTCACCTTGTGGAATAAGACACACTTGAGTGAGCTCTCATGGCCTAGTACACAAGGAGATGTGCTTCCAGCCCAAAGACTCGGGCTTTGAATCCACCACTTGCTCCAAGAGAGGAAATTATGACATTTCCTCCTGCAAGATTTACAGCCTCTGAAAACCCACCGAAGGGTCAGCTATAAATTTATTCTGACATGAAGTGTTGTTTGAGAAAGAGAGATTCAGACAATAGTAGTTTCTATCACTTCATATGCAAATGAAAACTGAACTAAGGAAATGACTAAGGAGAGCCAAGGAGCATACATGCATTTGAATGACAATGTTGGTAAATAATATTGAATGAATATACAAAAGCCTATCAGAATGAACACATCTGTTTTGGAACTGCAGCCATAATATTCCTTAGAAATGGCAATGGTTCAAAACCACTCTGAGATATCATCTCACCCCAGTCAGAATAGCAAAATTTAACAGAGCAGCAAACAACAAATGCTGGCAAGGTTGCATTCACTGTTGGTGGGAGTGTAAAATGGTGCCACCACTGTGGAAGGTGGTGTGGCTCTTTCTCAAAAAGTTGCAAATAGAAAGACCATCTGACCCAGCAATTCCACTACTGGGAATAAACCCTAAAGAAATGAGAACTGCCACCCAAGTAGATATATGCACACCCATGTTTATCGCGGCTTTGTTCACAATAGCAAAGAGTTGAAACAACCCAAGTGCCCATCAACAAACTAATGGATAGAGAAGCTGTGGTATATTCACACAATGGAATACTACGCTCCATTGAAAACCAAGGAACTCACGAATTATTATACAAAATGGGTGACCCTGGAGGACATTAAGCTGAGTGAAATATCTCAGTCACAAAAAGACAAATAAGGCATAGTGTCACTGTTGTAAAGCAGGACTGACATGGGACCTGGAGGAAACTATGAAAAGAGGGGATAAATAATCTACACTGAACTGAAATAGACGAGGGGGAGAACTGTATAAAAGGCATATATAATTAGGTAATATTGGCATGACAAGAGTACAGAATAAGAACTGCATAGTAAAGAGGTCTGGGGCGGGGAGGAGACTGTATAAGAATGAAAGAGCGTTTTTCCCCAAAGAAAAAAGCGATTGGGGGTGGGGGAGGGTGGGAAGTGCAGGGAGGAAAATGTGCAACAATGAACGATTGGAAACCCAAGTTCTTTATAAACTTCCATTAAAATTTCAATTTTTAAAAAAAGAGAAAAAATGGCTATGGAGAGTCTTTGTCTGAAGTACTCTGGACATATTATTGGGAGGGAGCAGTCCCTAAAGTATGGGACTCGGTGAAAAAGATGACTTCAAAGAGAAGGACTGGCACAGTGGTGCACCCATGCGCTCCCACATGGCAACACTGCTTAGAGGGAAGGATGGCCCAGGACAGAGAAGGGTTTCATTCTGTTGCAGATGGGACTGTTGGGAATTGGAATTGACTCAACAGCATCCAACAACCACAATATATTTTTTTTTAATGGACGTATTTGACTGAAGACACTGGGGCCCATGGAGGTAAATGACCCACTCTAAATGATGTGCTCCCTCCCTCTCTCTTCTACGTCGATCATCTATAATGCTGACAGTGCTCTGGGCAGTCTGCTCATAGAATCGTACAAGGAGAAAACGTACAAATGATTGATGTTACCAGCTGTGTGGGAGAAATGAAAGGAATGGGCAGATGGTTTAAACTCTTGGAGCTCTGGTGGCCTAGTGGCAAGGAGCTGCAACTACAATTCCAGAGGCACATGGTTCGAACCCACCAGATGCTCTGCCGCGGAAGGAGGGACAATCTCCTCCTGTACCAGTCAGATCTGATTTGACGGTACACTCACACAAAAATAATAAAATAAAAAAAAAAGAAACTCTTGACCAAGGTCCCACACAAAACCAGAGAGACAAGTTTCTCTTCCCTCCATACCCTTGTTTTTCTGTTCCGTTCTAACAGACATTCTCTAATTGCCTTTGATTTGACTCTCATTCTCACTCGTTGCTCTCAAGTTGAAATCCACTCATAGCTGATCCTCCACTGGTTTTCTGAGGCCGTGAATCACACAGGAGGACATGGCCCATCTTTCTTCTGTGCCGTTGCTGATGGGTTTTTACTGCCTTTGAGTCAGCAGCGTAGCTCTCCACAGACTACACCACCAGAGCTCCTACTCGGCGAGAGTATAGAAAAAACATTTGGTGTAGGGAAATGAAACAAAAAATGAGAACATGAACGTATCCTTCCTACCATCGTCACTGAAGCCTAGGTCCTCATTGACTGACGTGGCGGTGGTGGTGGTGGTGGTGTCAAGTATAACTCATAGCAACCGTATGAGCAATTGACCTGAATCCTGTGTATCCTGTGCCAACCTCACAATCTCCGACACACTCAAGTCCATTGTCACAATCATATCAACCCACTTAATGCAGGGTCTTATTCTCTTTCACCATCCCTCACCTTCCCAAGCGTGATGTCCCTCTCCAGGGAAAAACCTATCCTTTTGGACAATAACATGTCCAAGGTCTGTGAGATGAAGCTTCATTATCTTTGCTTCAAGGAACACTGGCTGTGCCTTCTCCAAGACACATCTGTCTATTCTTTTGGCAACCCATGGGATCTTCAGTACTCTTCTCCAATGCCACAGTTCAAAGAACTTCACTCTTCAGTCATCTTCCTTAGTCATTGTCCATCTCTCAAGTACATAGCAAGTGACTGAAAAGACCATGATCTGAATAAAGCCCACTTTAGTCCTCGAATTGACATCGTTACTCCTCAAAATTTGGAGAGATTCCTGACTACACACTTTCCCAGTGCAGTATGTCTCCTTATCTCCTGATTGCTGGTACCAAGTGTATTGATTGTGGATCCAAGTAGGATGAAGTCTTTCATAATCTCAATCCTTTTTCTCTGTCCATTATGATGTTACCTTATTGGTCCAGTTGCTTTCTTGATGTTTAGATGCAATCCATATTCAAGGCTGTAGTGTTTAACCTTCTGTAGCAAGTGCTGCAAGTACTCCTCATTTTCAGGAAGGTAGGTTATGTCATATGCATAATGAAGTTTATTGATGAGCCTTCCTCCAATCCTGATGCCACATTTTTCTTCATAGACTCTAATAATAATTTGCTCAGCATATATTTAAATAGGCCCTTACTAATTACCAGATTGTCTTTTGAGGAGCTGCTAGGTGAGTTCAAACTGCTAACCTTGTGAAGTTAACAGTGTCAAATTACTAGGACCCCTTGGTGAATATACACAATCCATGAATGCTATCCACCGTTAATAAGGTGAGTTTCCAATGTAGAGTAAGATCTAGAATCCAAGATAACAAATGTCAAAACAGGGCTACTGGGAAGTCAGACAAAATATGTCTTCAAGAGTTCTTCCTTGACCAGCAATCTAAGATTCTCTAAACCTCCCAAGGTCTCTACAACTGGAGACAAAAGAGGGTTGGATGCCATGACCATCGGGGTGGCGAGGGAGTAGGGCTCAGTCATATGCATCTCTCCCCCACTCTGTCCCAGCAGATGCAAGCTGCTGAAGGAATGAAGGAACTGAGAGTGCCCCTCCCAACACCCAGCGCCCAGTCTGGGGTTTGGAGACATGCCATTATAGGGAG